TACACACACATATATATATATATATATACACATACACACACACACACACACACACACACACACACACACACACACATACATAAATCGTCGAAAGAGTTTTTTTTTTAACTAGATAAGAATTCAGAAGCTATTGCATAAAAACTAAAAACAGAGTGAACATCTCAATCGGAGAATGGTTGATTATTTGAGGTATTGAAAGAATATTATGCTGCCATTAAAAAGAATAAAATAAGTCTATAGAGTTGACTCAAGGGGTTTACTATTGTCAAATGAGAAAAGAGAAGTAATGCATTTCTACATTCTTTCTGAAAACCTACGAGTGTATTAAAAGCTGCTGAGCACCTCAGTGTGAACAGAGTTAACTAACTGGGTGGACAGAAGGAGAAACAGGGAGAGAAAATAATGATGGAAAACAAGCAAAAACAACTATTAAAAAGAACCTGGTCCATGATAAAAAGCAAGAATTATATAAAATTATACATATGTAAGCATATAAATGCATAAAAATGCTTAGAAGAGTGGTTACTAAAATGTTAGAGGTATGTTATCTCAGGGATAAAGCTGCTTTATTTTTACACTCTTATACCTTTTTTGTATAAGAGTGTACCTTTTAACTATACCTTTTAACTATATATATATATATATATAGTTAAAATACATTTTAACTATATATATATATAGTTAAAATACAAAAAAGGTATATATATATCCAAAATAACCATTTATTGAGGGAAAGTTTGAATAAGTCAATGACACTGGCAGCATGAAAATCATGTTTCTTAAGTAGAATTTTGAATGATTCGTGACTAAAAGAGGTTTTCACTATCTTTTTCAAAATGGAGACAGACCACAAGTCCAAAATTAATAATCATCATAAACACTTTGAGCATCTTTAAACCAGGGCCTAAATCTAATTTTTAACACACTTTCTCAAAGGCTTCAAGTGCTCTGAGTGCTTAATCAATCCTCTTTAATTGACAAGCACATTTCAAATCTCATGAATTATTACATCGAAGATGCTATTATCTGACATACAAATGCTATTAAAGAGTAAAATCTCATCTAAAAAAGAATATAGGAGCTGAAGTAGCTACAATGAAAATAATTTAACTATGAAATTTAATCTGCCACAAAAGAAGTAATAAAACTCTAACACATAATTCATTTTTCCTTCCTGCCCTGGTCATATGAAATGTATTCAGTTTTGTTACCTTCATTCCTATAGTCTCAGGCCTACCTGTCATCTACACACCCCCTCAAAGACTGTCCACTCAATATCATTAACTTTCTGGGTGTTTTTATTGTAGATATAATTGTCAGGACATTTACTACCCGTCATCATGAATAATCTCCATCTATATATAAAAAACTCTAATATGCAAATAGACCGAATGGTGGAACAACCGAACAACCAAACAACTGGTCACTATGATGTGCACTGACCACCAGGGGGCACACGTGGAACATGGCAGGCGTCGGCCGCAGTGGGATGGGAGAGCAGGTGAGTGGGGGCGCCAGACCAAGGCAGGGCACTGGTCACTGTCATCAGGGTGAGCCTCTGGTGGTTCCTGAAAATTCTTTGCTCCTGTGTGCTACAGTCCTGCCTGGCACTCACACCTCCTGCCAGCACCGGCCCTGCTCACACCTGCTGCTGGTACCGGAGCTGCCGCTTGCACCCGCTGCCAGTGCCTGGCGTTAGCCCCAATCACTCGGCGCCATTAGCGGGTGCAAGCGGTGGCTGCTGGCCCCAATTGCCCCTCACAGCTTCTCCACCTCCCTTGCTCCTGAGGGGCGATCAGGGCTGGCAGTTACCTCTTGCACCTGCAGCCAGCACCGGAGCCACTGCTCGCACCCGCTGCTGGCACCGGCCCCAATCGCTCTACACCATCAGCGGGTGCAAGTGGTGGTGGCTGGAGTGGGGCTGCTAGCAGAGAGGGGACCGGTGGTGCAGAAGATGAGCCGAGACCCACCTCTGTGCCCACCGCAGTCTCGCAGCCCACAGTTCCTTTTAAGATGCACAAATTTGTGCACTGGGCCCCTAGTCCTATATAATAAAAGAGAAACATGCAAATTAACCATCCCTCCGCTATGCTCAAGCCATGCCCACAAG